TGTGATCTTGATTCATGTGGACAGATAAGGGAAGCTATAATAATCTAATCTCAGATGGGGTTAAAGACTAGGCAGAATTTCAGCCCTTGCACTCAGGAATTAAAGCTCCTGTGTCCCTGTTCCCCCAGGGAGACACAATATCTTCATCTGAGCAGCAGGGGTGTGTGAAGTGGGCTGTATTTGATTTGGATTTGGATTTGGCCTGATTCATAGGACAGTGGTTTGATTTGCTGATTCAGATCACTGTCCCAATTCAATTTGGCTGAATCCAAATTTGAAGATTCGATGCCGATTCAGAGAATCAGCGATTCAGCCATAGGCACAGCTTTAAATGTTTTTTCTACATACCTCAAGGTACCAAGCATGGCTCGAGAACACTGCTGGTCCACTTCTGGGTGGGGGACCCCCCTAGCATAGGGGATTCCCCTAGCGCCCCACCCCCATGGCTTGGTGATTGGTTATGGGGGGACCCTGGATGTCCCCCCAGATCCAGAAGGCACCAATTGCCAATCCAGGGATGGGGGGAGGGTCCCCAGTGCACGCCGTGATGGACCCAGAAGTGGAGCAGAAGTGCTTCTGGTCCACTTCCAGGTCCGCTGCTGAGCACTCCCATGGGACACTCCATCTGCCCCACCATCTCAGCGTTCACAAGCTGCCTGGTACCTTGAGGTATGTAGAAAAAACATTTAAAGCTGTGTCTAGGTCCGAATCATCAGATCCCTCTGAATCTCTCTGAGTCGATTTGGAGGGCTCTGATTAGATTCGGAGTGATTAAAGGGTCTCCTGATTTGATTCATGTCCCAGGGACGTAAGATCAGGTGAGTGGGAAGACACACCTGCAGGCAAACCCCAGACAAATGGGAAAGAAAAAAACTCACCTCTTACAGGACTTCAAAGGAGTGAAGAACCGTGCTGGGGAGAGTCACCCACACGGTTCATCAGCCACACTCATCTGCAGCTGAGTACGGGTGATGTCAACAGGAGACACTACCTGGCAAAGATAAAAGCCAGCCCCGAAAGTATGGGAACGGGCACACCAGGAACAAAAGAGCAGCGGGGAGTTGCTGCATTGGAGGCTCCTGGTACCGGCAGGGAGCCGAAGACCTAGCGTGGGGAGGACCAGCTGCAGCAGCGGAGATTGCGAGCCCTCCCCACATGGGAGAGAAACAGCACCAGCTGGGAACAGAAGAGCCAGTGCAGAGATGGGCAGCCACGGTGGCAGGAGCTGCAGCAATCACCGCTGGGAGTGACCAGCTCAGGAGCCAGCTGGAGGGACTGGCCAAGAGATTGGTGGCAGTGGCAGTGGCAGCTGGAGCCACTGAGCACAACAGTGATGGATGGCATGGAGATGCTGAGTTAAAGAGGGCTCCGGCAGGAGCTGAAGGAAACCCCGACCGGGGCGGGAGCACGGGTCCCAGCTCGGGGGACGTGGATGCTTAAGGCACTGGGGAAGCGGAGTTGGCGAGCCTACGGCTCGAGGGCTCCCCCCCCCCCTTTTCCTTCTTTCTCCTATTGTTTTTCCCTCTCATTGTTTTTCCTGTCTTGGTCTTCTTTTCTCCTGGCTTAGGGGTCCTCACCACAGTGCTTGTTTTGTGTTGTCAGTGCAGTCTCTTTGGTTTTCTTTCCTTTTTCTGTTTTTTTTCCCCGCCCAGTGCAGGTTTACCTGGTGCTTTCCACTGGGTTCCGGGAGACAAGGGACCCTGACGGAGGATTGCGGGTGTGTTGTGAATACGGCGGTGATCAGCGGCATCCTCCTGGAACGTCCGGAGCAATGAGAGAACGTCTCGGAAGATGCGACGTCTCAAACCTCCCAGACCCAGGTGGAACCTCAGATGTTCTTCCATGACAAAGGGGACATAGATGCCGAGGAGATCATTATGCAAAGGTCGGGCACAAAGAGATCCTGAGGCCCGTCTTGAAGGGTAGCACACAGCCGGGGTGTAGAGGAGGTTGGAGCCCCGTGGACATCTGCCAAGGGACGTGACAACTCTGGAGGCACCCTCAAAGGAGACCCCCTTCACTGAAGATCCATCCAAAGTCATGGCAGCCGAGTTTGGGGGCCACTCTGAAGGTGACCGAGGGACTCTCCGGAGCCTACTCAAGACTACTTGGCACACAAGACCAGCTGCCCGTGCGAAGGTGACACAAGAACGGATCTTCGAGCGGAGGCGGGCACAATTTGGATTTGGAGATTCGGCTGCCAAATTGGGATGAATCTCTGCTGAATTGAATCAGTGACTGAAGCGTCATGCAGCCCTAGTGCTCAGATAGGCAGTGGAGTGATGACTCTTTCCTCCTGCCACGCGCTAGCTGGTTGCATGTGTGGCCTCTGTCTGTGCCAGAGCTCTGGTAATTCTCAGTCTGCAGTGGGCAGCTCCATGCCATCCCTTTGTGTGTGTTCTGGGATTTGCAAACTAGAGCCAGTTTTGCAGGTTTGTAACTAGACATTACAGCAACTGCCATAAGGTTAGGGGATTACATTTCAAGCATATAGAACTTCAAATAGCAAGCACTTTAAATATCTGATATACACTGACCTCTGGCCTAGTCAGACCTGGGATACAATTTTCAAATACACACATACATGAATTAGGCACCTATGCGCACATTTTCCAAAATGATTAGGCACCTACATCTTGAAAACCAGTGAGCTGTAGGTTTCTAGGGGCTCCTATACATGTATATGGAGCCTGCTCTGACGCACTAGAAATTGGCACGTTCTGGCAGCCTTCCGCGTCACATCTATCAGTACTGCCATGCAGCTCCACTCTGAAAAAATGTTGGCGGTCCACTCTGAAATAAAATATGTTTGATGAGCTTTAGTTCAAAGTACTGTGACACCATTTTTTCAGTGCAGGGACATGCAGTAATGCTGATACACGTGATGCCAAGGCACTTTTAATTAGCGCAGCTCGTTAATTAAATTGCCTGGCACCACATCCCACAGCATGTGTAAAAATGCCCTAAATGACTAAGGAGCTTTTGAAAACCACACTGCTGGCCTTAAGAAGTTAATTAACAATGTCCAAAATGGGTGACTCAATTATGCTCCAACACAAATGGCCAAAAAAGTAGTCCACATATCCCACTAAAGTGAAGGAGACCTGCTGAATGGAAAACTAACCCATTGAGAACCTCTGTTTCCACTTTAGGCATCTAATTTCCATTTTGAAAATTATTATCTTTTACTAGTTGGTGGTATTATAATGCCTGGACCCCGGTGGTGTCAGGTGCAACGCAAACACAGAACAGGAAGATGCTTTCTGTCCCGAAGATCTTACAGTATAAATAATCCTAGCTTTGGTAATCATAATAAAGAACAGAAAATGGCCCATTTTCATACTGTACCAATTGCCATGGAGGGTGGCTTTGGTTTTGGTTTTGATATTTGAAAGCTGTCAGTATTTCAAACTAGGATACTTTCTACATTAACACCTCTGAAATGTCAGAAGACCTTCAGGAGATGTCTCAGCTGTCAATGTGGCTTCCATTAAGACAAAAAAAATGAAACCCTGATCGCACTCTTTAATTGCATCATTTATCAAGAGTTTTTCTCTTTGACATGTTTTGGCATTTTGTTAAAATGGAGTTATTAGTGAAAAGCACCCACAGCCCCACTATTTGTCAGCTACAGGCAGAGCTGTAGCCAGGCATTTTAGCACCCCATGCAGGTCATGGTCAGAGCACCCCCTATGTGCTACCACGTAACATGACTTCCATTTGATCTGGTGCCCTCTGCACCTGGTGCCAGTACACTGCTGGCACTGCCCTGTCTATGGTACTGATGACAGAGGCCTTCCCTTCAGAAGATATCATTGGTTGTATTATATGCTGATGGATAAGAACTAGACTATGTTAGTTAGACATAAGAGGTAGCACTCTTCTGGGGAGTGGGAAGCAGGAGGCACTCTGCTTCTACTCCAATAAGAGCTCCCAGCTACAATGCCAAGGCATGCCAGAAGGAGCAGGGGAGTAGCCATCACTGCATCACCAGCAGCTCAGACTGGAAATGAGGCCAGTTCTTATGTGGGCAATAAATCTTCCCTTCTGTACAGAGGGCATGTCCCTATGGTCCAAGAACAAACAGGAAGGATCTTTTTCATGCTCAGTAGAGTGCCACAGGGCTGAAAGCATGCACATGAGCACTGGGAAATCTTGTCACCTGGACCTTAGAGCAAAACAATACCTACAGACTGGCTTAAATTTTCAGTCTTGTTAATTAGTGGGTTTCAGATTTTTCAGACCAGGCCTTTTTACTTTTTTGGGAACCATATTTACCTTCCCATTTAAGCATTAAAGCTGTTAAATCAATAAAAAATCTCCAAGAACACAGAAGAATATGGAAGTGGTAGAAATGAGAGTACTTGTTTTCTCGGGAATTGCTTTCATCAGCTGGCCTGATAAAAACTTCCATGGCAGCCATGCTGCCTTTATGTTGTGGAAGAAGGAAACAATGCAATGCAATTATTCCCCATGTCTGAACATGATTTTATATACATGAGTATTCTTCTGTATTCTTGTGTTATGCTGTGGGTGCACCTACATGAGACGCTATGTTGCCGTAGCGATGAGCTATGTCACTGTAGCTTGTTGTTATGTTAACATAGCATCTAAAAATAGCCATGTGCCATTGAGACTGCACAGTACAGGTGGGTACTCTGCAGTCATTTAGTACTTGCTAAAGCAAGTACTAAATGAGTGCGCAGTACCAAATGTGCAGTCAGAGGCATGTGTAGATGCGCCCTGTGTGTGTCTTCCAAGGCCAAGGTATTTTGGCCTTTTGGAAGTGGCTTTTCCATGCGTTTGGGTGGGCATCTGCAGTCGGATGAATTTCCCAGTGGGAATGGAATGTTGCCATCTCATTTTGTGCAATTTTGCAAGACCTTTCACACAACTGCTTTTTCAATGAAGTGCTGATGAAATGGCTACATGTACGCTGAATCCAAGGAAGATGGTGAATCTCCATGTGCTATCTTTGTGAAGATATTTTGACTCCAAAGTTGGGTCATTTTTGCAAGAAATATTTTTTTAAAGAGCGAAAATAGGCATTTTATTAGTTTGTGACTTAAAGCACAAGCTTTGTTGTCATTTAAAAGTACAGCTGGTATAAATGTATCTAGCTTGTTGTTGCCCACAGTTTTAGTGGGTGTGCAATTTGGAATGTGTCTGTACACACGACCTAGTTACTCTGAGGTAAGAGGGGGCAGTGAGTTACCGTGTAGCAGCTGCTCTTCCATAACTGTCTATCTGCATGCTCTTACCCTGTGGTAAATCAAAGATAATCTGCAATAGATGAGGCCTCAAACCATATACACTATATCATGCACCTGTAACCACAAGGTCAACTCATTAGGTATGCAGAAGAAATTAAATATTTTTGATTGTATCCATTTTAGAGACAATGCATACTTTTGAATATCACATTACTGGGGACAATTCTTCATTGCATGGCTGAAGAATGATTTCCCATGTTTGAACTACAAGATGATATAAAATAGGAGACAACATTTTTAAGACTTCATCCTGCAACCCCTAAAGTGAATGAAAGTTTTGGCTCCACAAAAACTCTGAAGTCAGGCCCTTATTATTGGTCTGATTATACTTTAGGGCTGGAAGTTGATGGCAGTTTTGTGACTGCCACTATCTTAGTTGTCAACAGAGACTGACCAGAACCCCTAGGACAGAACATGTGAGTCTCTGCAGCTGGCACCAAAGATCCAACTTGGTAGCCAGGGTCTTTGACAGTCTCAGTTCCTCTGTAGTCAGACATAAGCATGCACCTGACAAATACTTCCCAGTGGAATCCAGCAGGAGGTCCTGCAGAAACAAATTCTTTGTTGCCACCACTGAGCCAACATGAAAACATTCTCATTTTTACATTCATAGTAATATTTTTTATACATTACATTTAAAAATAGGTCTTACCCTGTATGCTACATAAAGTGAATTGCTTTTACAAAAGACATACAAAAATGGTTGTTTTCCCCTTAAATTATAACACTAAGCTTTAACTATTTTTTTCTCTAAATGCAACTGGAGGACTAATTAACAAAGTGGATGAACAGAAATCAATTATGCATTCTGCAGTTTGACTTTTTAATTTGCCATTTCCATGCAGGTTTTGTTAGAGTTTGAGGCAAGTTATAGACTTATTTTAACAGACTTAATGTGCAGAATCTAATTGGTGTATATGGCTAAAGTAGCAATAGTTTAATGAACAGGACCAATTTTTTTTCTCAGTCTGATCCTTTCTATTGGTGGTAGAATCTTAAAATGCAAGATGGTTTAGAGGAATAATGATTGCATTATATACACGATTCAGATACATGTACAATCATCTTCTGTATATAGATAGAAATGTATCTGTTGTAAAATTCCAAGCCTCATGCAGTTCTTTAGAAATAGAATTTGGAGCGGGTGGGGGGAGTGACAATCTGTTTGAACCTAAACGTGTCTTTAAAATAACAGAGAGAGCAAGACAGAGATGCATTTCTGCTGCTAAGAATAAGCTAGTCCCAATCATTCCATACTTTTGGTGTGAAATCCTGGCTTCCCTGAAGTCAACGGCATCAGGATTGTTCTATAAAGCTACTTTTTTGAGGATGAAACTCAAACCTGTGCAGAAGGCCAACACAAGGCTACTGCATCACTTCAGTCTCATGTATGCCCTTTGGAAGACATGTCCTCCACCTCTTTTTTCCAGCATTTCTGTTTGCTAAAGTGGGACTTGATGGTGCAACAACCCCTTTGCACAGTTTAGATTTACCCATAATGAGTGTTCTAGAGTAGCCTTGTTGCATTCTAAATAGGAAACACTAGCTACATTTTAAAATTAAATCAAGAAGAAATTCAGGGGTTGGAAATGCCCCAATGTTTTCTCTCAAAAGATGCATCTCTGGAAAGAACCTTTTATCCCTGAAACATCAGCCTGTTTTCCCTAGTTGTTCATGTTGAATCCCTAGCTACCCATGCAGTTACCCCTAGTTACAGGGTCTCAATTGCTTTCTTTTGTCTTTTTGTTAAAGTGTCAGTATTTGATATGCTGGTATAAATATATTACAGTTTTAAGATAGTCCCTTAAAGATGCATAACTCTTTAAGCAGTTTAGTATGCTCTTCCTGAGCATATATTTTAAACCATGACATAAACAAATAACTTACAATGAAGATTAATAAAATAGGGTTTTTTCCCATATTAGAAATAAATGCATTTTATATTTACAGTTTTATCGCCACATTAACAAGTGGATGGAGGTATTTTTAACAGTAACAGAATAATAGATCCACCAATTCAAGGCTTTTGCCTATAAGCATAATTATATGGAAATGTTAAATATTGCTAGGTGAAAAGAGCTCACCATGGAAGATGTATGGCTACTCATCAAAGCTTAGTTTAAGTGCATTTACTGAATTTAAGTCAAATTGAAATTAAAGTCTGTGGCTGTGCAGTAATATGGTCTATAAAAACTATGTTATATTTACCAAGTAACATCTGTTGCTACCACCTCACTGCTCAACATGGGCTGCAAACAGGTGTCCCCTTTGTACTGCCGCAAACACTTGTGGTGGCACAGAGCAAAAGCAAACAGACATCTATGACCTTTGTTGTACCACAAATGGCCAAATTTATGGCCATAACAAAAGGTAGAATAAATCTGTGCTGCTGTGTTGTGGCAGACATCTATTTGTTTTAAGGGGGAAAACTGCAGGCAGCCTAGAGCTACCCATGCTTTCCAGCTACCCCAGGCAGGCACTCCTGTGGCTACAGGTACCTGATCCTGTGTGCCCTGCAGTATTTCACCGCAGTATTCTCTGCAGGGGAATTTTCCGGGGTGCACAGGGAGAGGTCCCTGAAGCTTTGGAAGTGCCTGCCTGGGTCTCTCTATTTGCAGAGGCATGTCCTGAGTCAGAATTGTTGGGACACATCCCAACACAGCTGATTTGGTTTATTTGGTGACATCTGTTTATAGCCATAGAGGGCAATACCTTGCAGTGAAAATGATCCCGTTGCTTTTGTGCAGACACTGTCCAGAGCAAAGTACTGTGCAGTCAAAGTAATGATAGTCAAATCTATCTCTAACTACTTCCCACATCATTTACCCAGTTGTGGTGAAAGGTAGTTACCAAATGCTGTTAGTTTCTTGTGGGAGTACGCATGTAATCATTCACCTAAGGAAGGATTCCTAAATCTAGTACTTAATTTTTAAGGTGCCCATATAATTAGAAAATTACCTTTGTAAATACAGCCATATCTCTTTTAGATCTGCTTCCTGTGAGTGTACACAATAATCTCTGCTTGCTTTTATGATGGAACATATGTGACTGCATTTCATCTAGCTCCATGGAGTTAGTACAACTGTAGGAAATATGAGTGATGGCTAGAAAATTGTATTTAGAGGCTTGCCTTTGGGAACTAGCTTGTAGGTAAAGTAGATATTGCATTAGAACAATGATCCAGGGCAAAGTCAAGGGTTAATTTGTTTCTAAAAGCTTCCTTCTGACAAAATTTCCTTCAAGGCCCACTGTGTCTGAAGCCAGCTGACACACAGGCTGGGAAATTGAAGACATATACCACTGTTCCATAACATGAGATAAGGAAACATTAGGTCACAGTGCCCAACTGCTGAGCTCTTGGAATTTCTGGTTTTGGTGAACAGACCAAATCAGGAGACCAATAAACAACCAAATTAAGACATATGCATGTGATGGGTTTGTGAAACAAAGGAATACGCTGACAGAGCAGAATGTGGACAGTATGATGACCACAGGGAGACCAATCAATGATGCCCAGGAGTGAAGAGTCATCAGAGGGGAGAAATAATACAAAAGAAGGGATTTCGGAGAAAAAAAGGATCCCTGACAAGGGAACCCAAGGCCTCCATGGACAAGGGCACACTACCAGCTCAAATCATCCTCCTCATGGGGGGTGGGGAGGAGGGAAGAGGGCCTTGGCCTTTAACCTCCAGGCTGCTGACATCTGACATTCAAGAGATAACCTCAGGGTGAAGCTTGCCTCCTGGCCACACGTACTTTCCCTCTGTGACAGCTGTAGGACTAGTAGATATAGAATTGTTTGCCTTGCCTACATTATTATCTGCTATCACTGTGTATCACTAAAATTTGCCTGTTATCAAATGGAGAAGTCATGGTTGATCTGAGAGTTTGGGTCTACCCTGAACAAGGTATCTGGATCATAAAGCCAGTGCCAACAATGAGCTTGATAGTGGATTATCTTCTGGTTCATGTGTCAACAGATAATACTCTGAGCTCCAGCTGAGCTATCTTTAACATTGGAGTTCAGGTACAAATCAAACTACATTGCTGTAGCTTTCAAGCCTCAAGTTTGAGTTTTCATGACTAGAAGTTGATCACATAATGTGAGTGAATTTGGTGATTTCTAATCAAATTCCCCTTGACTTTTTGTGGTGTTTTACTCAGACAAGGGCAAAGCAATTCCATGTTTGGACCCTTGATATGGAAGTTCCAGGGAAAGACAATATAGAATCCTGAGGTTCAACATGTTGACAATTTTTGGTTGTAGCAAAAATACTTCTATACAGAAATTAAGCTATGTTTGTCCAACTGAAGGTAATTGAGTTATAGAGGCATAAATTGGCACAACCACAGACTTTATTTTAAATTGAATGGTCAGTTCTTTTGTTCCTTTTGCACAGTAAATATGCCTCTGTTTCACCTTCTTATATAAACTAGTTAGATTTCTTTTGAGACCTTTGTCCATATAGTTTTCATCTTTCATCAAAGTAGTACTATATGCCAGTTAGACCACTATGCTTCAGACATATTAAAATGCTAGGGAAATATGGCATTTTATGGGAGAAGCTTCATCATATTTTTTCACTTTGCTGTGCATTTTCTACTTTACTTAAGATATTTTATGGTAGACAAGAAAACATGAACAATAGCGTTCTATGTTTAGTGTGTTTTAGTGGCTTCAGATGCTGTTTTCTCAGTCCAGTAGTTGAATAAATAATTCCTAACAGCTGTGTATGGGG